AAACCGTCTTATGAGCATGCTAACAGAATTCGTAATAACATAACAGATGTGAATGTTTAAAAAAAATTAATATCTAACATATGTACATTCATTATTGTTATTGTAGACGATTTACAATATATCCAAACTATCAGACTTTTTCCTACCCTTTGGAATCCCTCACTTGATATCCACAGTGACATAAAATCTGTTACTTGACAAAGGATATATCGTTATTAGGTATCACTTTTTTATGGTAGATTGAATCTATTAAAAATACTATATTTTGCCGTTCCCAATGTTTAAATGTTAGCTGGTTTGAGATAGTCAGTAAAAATCCTGGACATAGGTGTCGTGCAGTTTGGTGCTTTTTAGCAGGGTGTTCTTGTAATCTTGAGGGAACTGGTGCTCCCTGGAACAGTTGATCCTTTGTTGCCCAGTTTTGCAGTCTGAGATGTTACCTACCCACTGCCTTCAAACACCTGGCATCAGAACACAGTGTCTATTGTCTTGGACTAATGACAACATTAAAGTCGATTGAACGAACCTTGCATTAGTCACTCCTCAGTAATCAATCAATTGTTTTTACTATTTTTTTTATGTCCTTAGCTATATGATCATCGCGAAATACGATTGCCAATTTCGATGCACTGACTTATGCGACTAAATTAATGACACGTAAAAGCAACCTAGAGTTCCGACTGGTCCTTTTTCTGCTTAGCCCTGCTTGTTATGTCCAGGACGCCGATCTCTGCCCCCGCGATACAAACCCCATATTTCAAACATACTTGGTTTATATATAAGCGAAATCAGACCACATCAGACTATAACATAGAAAATAAGATTTGTACAAGATCAAGTCAAAAGTGGTTGTGATTATGAGAAACTGTGACTAATAGACTGAGAATAGTAAATCATATAACAGTAACCAATATGTCATTTAACAGCTTATAATAAGAGGAATATAAATATATATATAGTTTAGTTAATATTAGTCCATAAATAGATCCCGAAAGTTTCTATTATTCTCGTCGGGATACAACACTATTTACTTACGTTTTGATGATTCAAATGTTTCAAACACTCACCAGGCCCCAAGTCTGAACTGTAATCCTTCTAAAACTGTTTACGGAGCCTATTGATGTTGCTAGATTTTGGACACATGAATAAAGCTTGAGTCAAAGGTGTTTTTGGTAACGCCTACTTTGTAAGTGAGTTCGATTGGTTACTGAATATATGAAAGTTATAAGGTTTTTAGATATTTCTGTAAAATTGATGGACGATGTGTCACAGTGATCTATTCTGCATTAATTATTATAAGAATAGAATGCGGGTCGTGTGTATATAATGATGTTTATTTTGTTCTTAATGTCAATTTTCTTCATTAAAAAACCTCAAACACATCGTATATCATTAGTTCGAAATCAGTTTACTGTATCTTTGCAACGCAAGAATAAGTGCACAAATTTGAAACCTATTTCTTAAAAAACAGCTTTATCCTTCATCTTACCCTGTCTTTTTGTTTTAAACTAGGATTTGTTTGTTTTTTGACTGGGAATCATTCGTAACATTAGATATAAAGCTCATTGACGACATTCAAATTCGTCTATATAGATACACAACATTCACTTTCCGAATCTCAACAAGGCTTTTTAAGAGTTTACATATGGTCACCGGTTAGGGTTTATGGACTTAGGTTCAAGGTTTAGGATTATGATTTTGGGGACAAGGTCGATTTGCACGTCATATGCAATCTGTATAAAAAAGTTGTCCATTTTATACGCTTAATGATGTATCTTTACCGTGTGGTTACTCAAATTAATTTTTTGTCACTTTTAGATGTCCTAAACACCTTACACAAGTATTTCCTACGCTCTTTCATGTAAAACAGTTGTATGCAAACTTAAATCATGAAATCCTCTGGAAGCGTGCGTTAAAACGGTTAGAATTGAGGTATTTTAAAGTTGTTTTAACGGAGCACAGCGTTTTATATTGAAAATCTTGAAAAAAAATTTCATTAGACATATTGTATTGCAACGGTTAATCTTGTAAGCTGAACTTTATTACATTCTATTATATTGTATTCTAACAACCTTCTGCATGCTATGCACCAATCACTTTGCGATTGAGACGTACTTTTTATGTTCATGTGGCTTATTGTTTCTAGAAGTTAACTTACGTCTGACGTAAAGCGTTGTTTACGGATCTGTAATTGAGTAATACGTTGTAAAACTACGACTTAGAGGGTTGATTGAACGTTTTACAATACTATTTACTGTTAAAATACTTCAGCTAAACTGTTTTGAAAATCGTCTAATTAATATCTGCCAATCTAGAAAACAATGGTTCTTACACATCCTGTGTATACTTTCATATAAAATGTCTACCAGTTAGTAACACAACATAATACTTGAGACAATTGTGCTTAGTTTCAAGGTGCCACACCACATCATCGTAGCGAAGGGCTGAAATGCATAAGCAATGATAGTACTACTAGTAGTATATATGATTCGTTATGAGAGATATGGTCTGTGAAGAAAATATATATTCATGGAATAAGAAAATTATAGGATAATTCAGAATGTCAGGATCTAAGGGAAAACAAATAATAAATGTACGTCCCCCATTGCTACCGATTCTGAACCATGTCACCCAAAGTTCCTAACGATTGGTGACGATTATCATGCCAACTTCAACCAATCGATCTGCCACGTTTTGGTTTACCTGTCAGTGTCTTTCAGCTCTGCCTCTACACTAACTATCATCGCTTGTCGAGGGAGGCGGTGGTTGTGCCTATTTAATGCATACCACAACGTCTTCTGCTGATGAAGACGTCCAACTAATTTACTATTTTCACCTAATACCTACTTCTAATCTCGTCATGGCTCATTCTGTTGTTTCAACATAAACCAGCAATGTTTCGAAAAGATCTATCATCAAATACTAGTGACCTACTAATATCCTCCACTTTTGAAAAATAAGTACTTCAGTGCACTATGGTTGGTAGACGAAAATGTCGCCTATTTCACCAATCAGAGTATAATCGTTTTTAATTTTAGCTAAATGTTCCATGAATTTGTTCTCTTCTGCTATTCATTTTGTTAATTTCATCTCATTGTGCCAATATTACATCGCAATTTAGTTTGGAAATCTCAAGCCTTTGAAGTACGCGTTCTTATGAAGAGTCTTAAATCTTGATATGAATTATCCGTTCAATAGTTCTCCAACTAATGTCAGTTTAAAACGGCAAGAACCACAAAGTGAAAAACATTTTAATTTTACATATTGAGATATTAGATGTTCCGTTGAAGTTTCTTGGCTGGAAATCATGAACCTGGTAGTTGTCAACGAACCATGTCTGTAGTTTTAAGGAAACTAACGCTTCCTGTGCCATGTGAACCTGTCATCCAAATTCGTCGTTTAGGGCGATAATACTCAACTTTCCGGCCATGATTGACATATAATTCTGAGAAATATATCATTAATTGATCACTGAGTAGTGGTCAATCTCATGCTTATATATATATATATATATATATATATATATATATATATATATATATATATATATATATATGAGTTATTCGACCTTGGTAGTTGTGCATTTTTTGGCATTGTCTCAAATAAAGAAGATTTGGTCGCTTTAGTATACATGGCGTTGGAGAATGATATAATTTGTAGAAAATCATTTGCTTTACATTTTGGTATTTCACATTTTTCTCTCTATCATACACACAAACTCACAATCACACACACACACAAAACTTAATATTAATAGAATCTCTAAAAACTTTATAAAACCTATACTGGTTGTGTATTTTTATGGGTTTGTGCATGTGTATGTAAGTTTCCGTGTGTTCGTGAACAGATAAATATCAGTACACCAAAACAACGCATTATGTGCGTTTGTTGGCATAGACGATTTCATATTTTGTACATTCCATTAGTAATAGATATTGATTAGAATCAATAAGATTGGTGTATTAGTGATTTACTTAATACAAATTCTTAGCACTTTATTACTCATCGTACCTATTATATTATTGTTATTGTCATTATAATCAACCCATTCACCAAGTAATTGTCTGCAAACCACACTATAAATGTAAGAAGGATAATGATACGATTACTGGAACCTAAGTGAACGGAGCACGGTTCGAGCCTGAGACTTAGTGGCTAAACTTTGATCCACGGTTTGAGTACTCTAACCACCACCTTACATTTCAAAACAGTGCACCCGGTGTCGAGTCACTTAGATTAGTGACCATATTGCAACCTCATCTATATAATTTAATCACCAATAAAAGGAACTTGGTATATATGACATTGTTCACAACTCGGTGATCAAAGAGTTGTGAATACAGTCTTACAGAAAATCAATCGTGACCCCGATAGGTCAGTAAGTAGTAATGTCTTTGACTGTGAAGCTGGGTGACACGGGTTCGAATCAGTCAAGAAACATCAGTTCCCTCAAGATTGCAGGTACACCTTCCTGACGAATTTCAAATAACATGAAAGCCACGTCAAGCAAGGTTTGTTGTTAGCCAACTCCACCACCTTACTTTATCACTGTTCCAATGATTTTGTGTTTCGGTCGAATTAAAAACTCGAACCCTACTTTGAGTATATTGTCTTGTATAAAGGTTAGACGTTAGTTGTCATAAGCCAAGTTGTCTCTGCGTAGTATATCTTAGAATTCATTTTAGTATGACACATCGTTCCTGCTGATTTCTGTGTTATATTATGAATTGTATCAATCTTACGCCCTTGCGCATCATTGAACGAGAAAACTACCTGTTATCACAAGCCAAAAATTGTTTTCAGCACTACTTTTCATCAGTTTCAATCACCTGCAAGTGCTCTATCGTTTTCGCATATCTTTAAATTATCAACCGTGTGAATAATATTAGTGTTCTAGTTAAAGACATATCATGGTACTTATTAAAGCTGTGTAAGGGACTTCGACCATCTTTATCGATTATTTATTGCCTCCTATTTTTTAAATTTTTTTTTACATACAGTGTTAATCCAGTGATTTTTGATGCATCACTAGTGCATAGAGCTCGTTATTTCATTATTAAATCAGACTATGTGTACAATGTGCACCAATCTATAAAATATGGTGTTTGGTGCTCAACTCGTACTGGTAATCAATGTTTGGATGAAGCGTATCAATCAGTACATGGCTCTACCGTGACTATAGCAACAACAACGACTACCACCACCACTACTGCTAAAAGCGTCAATAGTCGTAATAATAATAATAATACTAACATAATCAGTGATCAATCAACGTTAGTTTATAACAGTAAACTACAGTCAGATAGAAATGAAAAAGTGACAGGGATAACTTCTACTACTATTGCTACTAATACTACTACTGTTGCTAATAATAATAAATCCTTCTCAACTAACAATACTGTTCAATGCCTAAATGATGTAAGTTGTTTGTTCTTTCATGCGTAATGTTACGTGCAATATGTTTTTTTTTAATTTTTTTTAAGAAAGAGAAAAGAAAAATTATGATATCGATCTAATTTATTTGTTTGTTAGTTTCTTTTTCATACTGTTCAACAGAGCAATGATAATAGTTGTTGAAGAATAAAGTGAATTCATGTATTCTTAATGATGATGATGACTATGACTGTTTAGCTGTCTACCATCTGAAGTATTTGTAGCTGACATTTGATGGGGAATAATAATAAGATATACGCATAACTTACTATATTTGAACAGAGTGGGATGATGGCTAGCATGTAGAATTCAAGTCGCACTTTGTTTCATTTGTGACTCATCAGCTATGTGCACATGCATTCCAATGTTGATATTCACACTGAAATTCAAACACATCACCTTTCGCTTCAGATCCCTAACACGTTACACACTTATTAACTTTTAGCGTAATCACTAAATCCAGGCAGTTTGTACAGGACGTATATGTCCCAACTTTGACTGATAGAATCCAAACCGTTACAAATGAAATCAATAAAAGCTGTAGGTTGTGACTCTATAATATAACTCATTTCAGTCAAAGAGGCAATCTAATCCTAGTGTTCATTCTGAGACTCGAACCTGCTTTCAAATAACAATACATTATCCACTGATTTATCTCATCCAGATGCCCAATAACATATTCAGTGGGTGTTATATTCACATGGTTGTTATAAAGGATTTTGATTACCTGATTGTTGACATTAAAGGTCAAATTTTGTTCATTCCTAGTTGGTGTATATGCATCTTGAATGGACTGCCTCGATGTAACCATTGTGCCGCAAATTTTTAGTATAGTATGAGACCGACATCCTGAATTCCGCCTCTGCCTATTATTTATCTATATTTAAAAAAGCTCACGCCTCTTTATATTTCATTCGTATGGATTTTCCATCTACACATAAATACACATGTACTTAAATTGTATATTATTTTATTGTGTCACAAAAATTCATCTTTTACATGAAAGGAATTACTTTCCGCTCTTGAAAAAAAAACTCACTATCATATGCAAATTATTTAAAGAAAATCTATGTTACACAAAGATCAAATATATATGTGTATTTATGCGCTTCTCTAATTTATAACCTACTGGATCATTTAATTCAGTTTGTTTTTCATTATCATTATATCAAGACATTCTTAATATTTATTTGAACACATAAACATTAGTACAATGGAGCACCAGGTACATATGTGCCACACAAATCTCGTTTGATTTGTGTGAGCGCTGTGATACTGCCTAGGTGCCCAAACTGAAGCAGGTGGTTTTCTTAGGCGGCCACACCCGGAACCTTCAACCTAAATGTCTGATTCACAAGGCAGTGAAGCATTGTGAGGAGATGGAGTCCCATTTTAGCCGGTGACTCACGATTGATTCATACGATATTTGTTCACTCAGGATACTGGAGCCCATGTGCAATATTGGTTTGCAATCAGGGTTTTCCAACTCTCCTAGGTAGGCTTTCCGTGTCCATCAACCCGGTTAAAGCGCCGAACATTCTCTTTTCGTCCTCTCAATTTCGTAAACAACAATGATGCAACAAGAAGCCAATGAGTAGGACTACCCTGGCAGAGGCTATATATTCGCGTGGCCATGTGAGAGCATTTCGGGAGGGATAGTGAACTCTCCCTATTCTCGGCCGTACCAGGGCATTTGGGGGCATTCTTAATACTACTTCAGATAGTATTCCAGTTTTAGTTTACAGTAGAGAGATGAAAAGTAAAAGTTAGAAAAAGGAAGAATTTGATTTTAGAGAAACGCCATCAGAAAAATTGTTGTCGAAACATCGCCAGATATTTTTACTCATAGTTGGCAACACGCGACTAACAAAATGTCGGACATAAAACATGTATTCTCAGTTGAAATATATGATGTCAACACATTGTTACAAATTGACTGAAGTTAGAAATTTCAACCGTTGTATTCTATCTCTCAACAGTCTAAAAGTTACATACTTCTTGAAAGTCTAGTGTAATCGATTCCTGACTAAGTCATGGGTACGCACTAATATTAAATTTCATTATAGAGTAAAACAGTTGTTCGGTATCCCCAAGGTTTTCACTGATTGTTCAACTAAATTCTGTCAACGTTATCAGCTACCTTCCAACTAATTTTATTCCCTTCAGAACTTTCTTTTTGACAGTGTCTTTTGTTCGATGTTTATTTTCTTTTCTAGTCGCCTGCTGATGTTACAACCGCACACATCTTGTCTGTTTGCTCTACCGCGTATACTACCACTACTAATACAAATACACTCAATAACAATATAAACCTCGATACAGCTAACGTTTCAAGAACGAAGGTCAGTACAAACAATCCAATTATACCAATAACAACTGTTACTTCAACCATACTGACGGCAAATAATGGTCAGAACTCGACCAAATCAAAAAGAACTTCAACATCTACATTTAATACCAACATGAACTCTTCTCCTGGACATATCATTCTATTTTTTTCAGTTCGAGAATCTGGATATCTAACTGGAGTCGCTGAAATGATCAGTCCGGTTAATCCACAAAAGCGTTCTACAATATGGCAAGATTTACGATTTAGAGGAGAATTCGCTGTCAGATGGTTGTATATTAAAGTTAGTTATGTGTATATTACTTTTATTTTTTTATTATTAAAATCAATCCTATATGCTGTAACTTTTATAAACGTCTTACAAAATCATATTAAGAGTTCATCGCACCATATATTACCTAACACATATAACTTGTCAGAATTACTTGTAAATACCTCTGTTAAGTGAACTAATCTCGAATAGTAGGAATTTATGTCTAGATTACCAAATCAGCACAGTTTCGGCTTATACATTATTATTAGAGTAAATATTTAAAGTTTGTGGATACGAAATTTCTCGATGGATTCTGCAGTAAAGTAAGATCCTAGTTAGAATGTATACTAGTTGAAAATGATGCATTTTAAAACGGTACAAGGTTTTCAGAAAAAGAACCGACATATAGAACCTTTTGCCAAACATGTATCAAATGTATTTTCCGTATTTATGATGATTCTACTACAATACATATTCACACTTATCGTTCATTTATTTATTTAAACACACAAATATTGGTACAAGGAGGCACTAAATATAAATGCGCTACACAAATGATTCAATTTGTGAGAGAACTGAGATAATTCCTGGGCACCTAAACCCAAGCAGTTAGTTTTCTTAGGGGTCATTCCTTGAACCTTTGACCTACAGTGTAGCAGAGTAAAGAGATGCACTCCCATGGTAGACGGTAACCAACATTAGGTTCATACACCATTTGTTCTCTCAGAAGCCTAGAGCTCATATGCACCATTGGTTTGGAATCAGGGTTTTCCAATTCCCTCAGGTGAATCCTCCATATCCACTAACCCGATTAAAGCTCCGGACTTTCGCGTTTCGTCCTCTCAATTTAATGAACAACACTCCCACCCCGAAAAGTCAGTGAGTAAGATCTGCCTATCAGTATCTGTATACATGTAGCCATGTGAGAGCATTTATGAAGCGAGAGCTAACTCTCCCCACCCTCAATCGTACCAGGACATCCGGGGGGCACATTAAATTACAAAATAAAACAGAGTGTAAAATATGATTAGGAAAAAATTAAACATTGTCAAACAGAATTACGAAGCTTTCATTAGTAGTGAAATTGTGGCTGTATAGTTTAATTCTCTAAGTTTATCTCGTTTTCGTACTTATTTAAATCATAATGACAAAATCTAGATGATACAAATACTATCAAATGGAATTACCATCGTTGTTTATTTGCCGGTAAATAATGTTTTATCATTACATACTACTTAATTAGTGTTACTGATTTAACAAATCAATTTTTAAAAAAATACAAATGCTGACAGTATACGACCCAGCCTCACTTTAAACGAACTACATGAAGCTGTACAAATGATTTAATCAATAAACTGTCAGTGTTACGAGCATTCTTCACTCTTTCTCGGTATCATAGACATCACTCAGTTGGTTTGCACACTGATTATGTCGACAAGTCAATAAATCAATTCATGTGCTTGTCTTTCTTGCCTCTCTCTTGCTATATATATATATATATATATATATATATATATATATATAATTAAAATAAAGGTTACCAGCTTAAATTTACATTTAATTAAAATAACATATAAGTGTAGTCTCTATGTCGTATCTGAGATAACAGTCACAGTATGATTGTTAATAGTTACTGTTTACGCATGGCTGTGTGATTATAAAATAAACAAACGATAGGGTAAAATGTATCAACACTGCTTATTTTATGTATGCAAAGCAGGTCATGTGACACTTACAAAAAAAGTTATTCTTGAATGATTATTTCAATGGTTTAAAGCAGTAGTTCAGTGGGGAAAATATGTTGAGAATTTAAAGGGTTTTCATGAGCTGTAAGTGAATAATGTAAATAAGTGGTGGAGGACCTGTTATATTCAACAAACAGATCAGTTATTTAAACTGCATGAGATCAGTTATTGTCAGGAGGGGTTTTGTGGATGCCGGCTCAGTGGTTTATCGGTTAAGTGCTCTAGCGCGAGACTGGTAGGTCTTGGGTTCGAATCTCGCGAGGCAAAGTCGTAGATGCGCACTGCCACTGAGGAGTCCCACAATAGGACGAAACGGTCGTCTGGTGCTTCCAGGTTTTCGTTGGTGGCCTAGCTTCGATTGACTCACGCTTGCAACTATGAAAACAGATCAGTATTTGCATTGTTTGACCCAATGTATATTAGTACGACTAAATGATGTCAACTAATTACTGATATTACTAAGAATCGATTTTCCTTAAAGCCTGATGTAACACCGCCATCAATGGCCTAAAACTAATGAACTCTAAATACTCTAGGCTCATTGAATAACAGGATCGTCAATGTGCGCTGCTAAAGTGTCCCAAACTGAAGTAAATCATCTCTTTGCACACGTTATAGCCCACTTTGAACGAATCACTTCGTAGTAGCTGCATACGATTGTTGTTGTTCACACAAAGACTTAAGCTTACTACTTTTCTCAATACGTTATCCCTTGACTTACTGAATTCTGATAGCCAATAACTTCTTCAATAATAATACATTCAATCAATACGTCTCAAGTGGGCCGACACATTCTTTCCAATCCCACTGCTAACCGCGTACCAAATACTCTTCAAACCTATAACCAAACCCTTTTATCAACGCTATCCCCCTAAAAGGTACAGATGGATGATAGAGACTGTTCGATTTTAATTCTGAACATCAACATACGTAAATTAATAAACCAAATTTTGTGATTCTATTTAACAGTATACAATTATTAACTTGATAATAACCTGGTTCTTTAAAACGAATCATGTATTTTCTATTTACATTGATTGTTTTTTTCTTTTGTTTGGCTTCTCCTCTCTATCTCCCTCCTCAATTGTTTGATCGACCATAACAGCATATTCCAAATCATGTCATTAAGCATATCTTAGTTGAATGCTATGATAATCGTCCAGTGACAGTATTGCGTGATACTAGTGAAATTTTACCACCGTCTAAAGGTGAAGAATTACTACGTATTGTACATGAATATGGATTATCTACATCATCATCATCACTGCCGACTATGTCATACTCATCGCCAACATCATCTCATTCGATTGGAGGTGTTAAATCATCGACCAGCAAAATTGGTAATAATCATAATTTTTCAATCAATACAAATTTGATCAATTCAAATGGATTTAATAATCATAAGACTGTTAGTACGAGTAGTAATTTGATTGTTCCATCGTCTACGATCTTTAATAGTAACAATATTACTACAACTACTACTGCTACTACTACTAATAATAATAGTAAGAATATTGTCCCTTCAGTGAGTATATATTCAACAATTCCTGAGAATCACAATTCACAAGTCACTACTGATTCGTCGAATAAAGATATGAATAATTCTCCGTCTACAGTTGTATAAATTGTCATTTGATTCTCCCACTTAATTTCTTCTATTTCGTTAACTTCGGTGATATACATATAGATGATATAAATGTGTACAGAATTCTTGTTATAAATGCACTCGTCAATTGGACATGTGTTATCTTCAAATTTAATCCCAGAATAAAAGAATCTTATTCGCTTATTGAGTATTACCTTTTATATACTACTGAAAAAGCAGTTTCATGTTTTTGGTAAGTGAAATAGTGTTCTTTTTTTACGTTAAAATTATATATTTATGCATTTATTGTGTATGATACTATGAATTTTCGGAGATTGTTGAATTGTATAGTTTGTATCACAGACTGAATTCCGTTAGACAGCGGTTTCGTCGTAGCGTAGGACGACTCATCGATATTGAGAATCTGTAACCAGTGAAGTTCATTCTGGTAGAATTTGGGATATTCGCCTACCAAGAACATTAGGAGGTCACTAGGCAATATCCCGAATACACCTCATTTAGGAATATGAACCACTGAATACCAACACAGTGGTCTAAAGTTTAAGCGCTTAACATAAGACCTAAAGGTCTTGAATATCAATCCTCGATTAAGTTTCATTCTAGGACGTGACAGATGTCTGGTGATTCTTGATTTCACCCACTAACTTGTACAATGTCATTTGAACCAGATACGTTATTATTTCACTACTTAATTGGCTTATTCTTTATGTACCCAGAGCCATCGTTGACATTTCTTTTTGTTAAATTAAATCTATCTACGTATAAGTACACATGTGTTCTAACTACTCTACTTCAGTATATGGCAGTGCAAATCTTCTCAACAGTCCTGTTTTCTTACTCTTTGTCTAGTTCAGCTAATCAATTGTTTGGGAGAATATATACTAAATAACTTGTAGTGTTTAGATTCCATAAAAAATTTTCTGTCAATCGGTTCTAACGGTGTCCTGTTATCTACCAATTTTATTGCTGCTAACTTGGCACACGTAAAGTAGTATAACTTAAAGCGGAATATATAAATTTTAAAATTAATAACTCAAATATTATTTTAATAGTTGAGATCATGAGTCTGTTGAAGCTGGACCACCATGGAAAACCTGAAAGCACTGGACGGTTGTCTCGTCCTATTGTGGAACTCCTCAGCAGTGCACATCCACGATCTCGCTTCTCGAGGTTCGAACCCAGGACATATCAGTCTCGCGAGCGAGCGCTAAACCTCTAGAAGATAGACATTAACACTGTTGGGTGTTGGCTCAGTGGTCTCAACTATTAAAATTACTATAATATCCACAAAAACCCCTTCTGATATTAATCACATATTATTGTTCAAATGTAAACATCAAAGCCTGCTATCTTGGTCTCATTATTATTTTCATAAAAAGACATACCTTCGTTGTATATCGACTTCAAATAGATAGTGATGAAAAATCAGTGAACTACCGATTTCCATCAATTTCAAAGTCTTCGGTCTTACGTGTTTAGCACCTTCATGTCTTATGGTAATGATTACGTATTAGTCTATTCTTATCTCTTTCCTTACTCCTTTTTGACCGCTTTGAGTCATGGTTTCTTACTAAAATCTTGAGAATACATTTTAAACTCAGTTGACTTGTAATAAACGTATAATTATTGATTAGCGTAATGATTTTTTTAAAGATAATTATTATCAGTCAGTCAGCTACAACGTAGGACCTGGCACACATATGCATCGGTCCAAGTTGCCATACCTCTTTAGCACAACAAGATGAACACCGGATTCATAGAAGTAGTTAATTTAGTGATGGATATATATGTAAACGAAGGGCTGTATATAAGGATATAGTACAGGAAGGAAGATAGATATGAAGTATTTTTAATCTCAAGGTCTAAAGAAATATGAAGAGTGTATACACCTACACCATTGTGATCGATTCTGAGCCATGTCAATTGGGTCTCCAACCATTGGTTTCGATAGTCAGGCGGACCCCAACCAGGTAGTCTGCATCTACCAACTTGACTCAGACTAGAAGTTAGTGACTTGAAGCACTGATGCCATGTTTTGGTTTTGGCTGCCCCTAACTCTCTTCCAACTATCTCCAATACTAGTCAGTATAGCGCGTCGTTGTAATCGGTGTTCAAACATATGTAACACGTGGCCCAACCATCTCAATCGATGAAGATTCATAACCTCATCAACTGAATTACCATCATTTCCTAATACTCTGTGTCTAACCTCACTATTATTTAGCTGGTTAACTCAGATGATGTGAGCAGTATTTCGAAGGCATCTGTGATCAAATACTAGTAGCTTACGAGTATCTTCTACTTTTAATGGTCACGTTTCACAGATGATTATCATCACAGAGAGTCATTAAAAGCTGGTCGTAACTGTCATGGTTCAATGATATCAATGGTAGAACACATCTGTTTGTATTCATCACTAAGTAACGGTGGATCACTTAATTTCAATCTAGTTTGAGTATATTATGCTAACCACAAGACATGACGATCCATGATTCAGTCCTGAATGTATACACACCTTCAAGGAGTCTAAAAATCTTTAAAATATAAACACCTGCATCCAGTTTCTCTTGCTTTTGATTTCTTATCCAAGCAATATCAATTCGTAAAAAAAGAATACCATAATTGAACTGGACTAATCCTCCTCGAAAATCATTATTTTGATGGGACTAATAATCATAGACGAACCAGTCAGGTTCAAGATATTGCCTCTTAGACTTTTTCCCAAAATGCTTTCACCTATATGACTGCAATGCCTTATTGCATTAGAACTAATTTAAGTTAATGATGAGAACCTTAACTCCTATTTACAACCCCATTTTTAAAACTAATAAGTGATTGAAATTTCTTGAGTTCCCTTAAGAATCATTGGATGCCCATGGGTTGTCCATCAAATACAATCGCATCAAAAGTCTTTTTCCCTTTTATATTTCATCATAATTACATCACATTTAAATAACTCCAACAATGGTCGTTTGATTGTATACAGCTCTTAAAAGTTACCAATTTTTTTTTATTTATTTCTGATTTATTGATTCGAAATAGCTGCCTACCTGCCATATGTTGATTACTTTTTATTTCTCACACACAATAAATTATGGCTTATATATAATGCAAATTTTGTGAACGTTCATTCTGTTTAATAGCATATGTTGTTTTAGTTACAAAATGAACTCATCAAATTTATAGACAGTTCAAAACCAAGGTCAACAATTGTATGTAAGCGTCGTCTGTGTCATAACCATGGTAACAGGGGTCATTCCGATAGTCACCGATTATTACTTGTTGGCATGATTACTTAATCGTTTCGTGTGTGTGCTTATTTATTCTATGAATCATTTATTGTTTCTAATGGTGCTTGGTCTCGTGTGCAGTTACGGGTATGAGGGCTAATATCACTTCCCGGCCGCCCACACCGTGGAAGGGTATTTCTTGAGGGACCTGAAAAAGAAGTTGGATTATTGTTGGTCTTAACGACCTGGGAGCGTGACCGCAGTGCCCAAGGGACAACTGCTTAAGGCCGGTCACGCACGGCCTTTTTGTGGGGGATTTTTGACGTGTTGGCTCCGTTCTTCAAAGGACCTTACCGCCGGAAACAGAAATCCATGAAATAAGATTAGGTGTGGATTTTCAGGGTCAACATTTTTTAACTCCACCCCTCCTTGTGGGATGGCAACATTGCTGTTATGCTGATTGTGTGAAGGAAACACCTTATTACCATCACGTCTCTGTACAGTCAGTAGTGCGACTTCTCTCTCGAACCTGGAGTTTGCTGTTTATATTCTTACCGCTCTTCAACCGACCTGTCTGTCATGGTAGGACTTCGAGGAACGATTGTTCCAGCCAGCATAGCTCGATTGCTTCATCACGATAGGCAAGCCCGACCACCACGTCAAGGTAGCAGCAAACCCTTATCTTTCACATAATACTTATACTCTTACTACTTCTACCAATATGGGATTTGAATCAACAACTTCATCTCTGTGCTAATGTGGTATGGCAACTCGAACTGATGTACGTACGTACGAAGTTCTACGTTGTAACTGACTGACTAATGGTGCTATATGTGTTATAGGAGCTAATGATGATAGACAACAACGAAACCTCTGTAATTAAACCATCTAGCTCGTAGAATACGTCACTAAAAGCATCTACATGAACTGCATATTTCTTCTTTCATTTCATCATTTAGTGTATTATTAATATCTTTTTCTTCATTAAACTGGATAGACCTACGAAAGTATTAAAAGTATCAATAATACGTCCTGATAGCCACTTGCTTGTGCAATGGGGTGAAGTTTAAGTTCACTCAGTGGCCGATTGGATAACGCGATGGCGTTTGAAGCGAAAGGTACTGGGTTCGAGTCCCAGAGTGAACATCAACTCTGAGATGCAGGTACAGCCAGCCGACGAGTCCCAAATAGGACGAAACGCGCGTCCTGGATTCCAGTGCTAGCCACTGTCCATCTTTACTTATAATGCTTGTGAATTTAGGCTATATCGAGACAATATGCACAGTATGCATATATGCCAATAAGAGACTGACCAGTTGCAGTCCTAAACATCAATTGGAAGATTCAAACAAACAATACTAAATGAATTTATACAGCATACAAGTTATCATTACCTTTTGATAGTTCAGCAAATAGCATTTTTCTAATACACATGAAACAACAGTTTATTATTAAAGAATTCTAAACGTTCAGGATCCAAATTGCACCAGTTATTTTTTGTCTTTCAATGGGGAAAACCTTTGCCACGTATTGACATTATCTATAAAATGATTAGGAGCTATCGAACGCTAAACTGACAAGTTTGCTTTGTTTTAATCTAGAGTTTTACTTGCAATATGCACTCATAATCTTGTACTGTATCGATTCTGAAGACTCTGTTTTTCGCTGAAACCAAGTTGCTCCTACACCACCAAACCTATAGTGTAATGGTCGTCCTTTATTCAATTGTGTCATCAAATAATCATAATCAAAGTAAATCCTGGTACGAATGCCCATTGCCTTTAATTTTCCTACTGCATTCTCACAACAACATTAAATTATTAAGATATACCAAAGGAATCGAAATAATACAGTAGTAATAACCATGAGAGAAAATGAATGTTGAGAATATGATACGAGAAAACCGAATGAAGA